TGAAGCAACTGGTGAGCTTGAAGTGTCTACTTTGCAATTCAGACGACTTTGCAGTTTGCAAGCTATGCTAAAATGGGAAGTTACAAGCCAACCTCAGGTATGTTGGTGCTGACAGCCTTGCCTGCTGGTACTGCCTCCCTTTTTCCTAGACTAGCAGTTGAGTTGCCCTTGACCTAGAGCATTACTGAATCCTGAAGCCAATGTCCTTGCCACTGAATCTGGGCAGTGAGAAAGAGGATAGTTGGTATGCTGCCTGCCATTGGGAAACCACTTCTGGAACCTGTAGAATCTCATAGCCTGTGAGGTGATGAGGCAAGCGATAGAAGCCCATTGTGGGCTATCCAAGACACACAGTCTGAGCACACAGAAACATTTACAAAGGGAAGAAATTTAGAAAGTAATGAAATAGTGGTAGGGAAACTAGAACTTTGGGCTTCATTATAATTATTTCTGGTTTAGTGTTGATGCTATCTATGTAAGGAGCCCTGGTACTGCAGTGGGTAAGTGCTCAACTGCTATGGTTCAAATCCATAGCTGTTATGTAGGAAAAAGATATGGCAGTCTGCTTCCATAAATATTACAGCTTTGGAAACCCTATGGGACAATTCTACTCTGTTCTGTGTTACTATGAGTCAGAATTGACTCAACAGCAAGTTTTTCAATGGGTTGATGTTATTTGGAATGATTTATGGATTAGGCCAATAATTTCTTTATTAAATTCTTAATCTGACTCTGGCTAATATACTTTTTCCACTTTAACCCTAGGAAAGATGGTCCAAGTTTCCTTCTCAGGGTTTTTGGATACTGAGTAATTATGAAATATGCAAATTCTTCCAGTTGACAAAACTATTGGTATAGCACTATAGGATAAACACTAGACTGCTGACCGCAAGGTCAACAGTTCAAACCCACCAGCTGTTCTCGGAAGCCCTATACAGGGTCTCTGTGAGTTGGAACTGACTCAACCACACATAAGAGCAAATGTCTGTTGCTGCATCTACACTAAGAAGGTGATGAGACTCAACTTTGGAGCCTCCATATAATGGACTCAATAAATCTTGTTAAGAGTACTTTAGAAAAAGCACTGACATCATTTAATTACATGTCTAAATACTGCAGAAATTAGCTAAATTGTTGGCTATTTTGCGATTTTAAATAAGTGCTAGAAATCTTTTAGGAACCCTGGTAGCCAAGGGGGTTGCACATTGGTGACCTTGCTAACCCCAAAAGTCAGCAGTTTGAATTCACCAGCTGCTCCATGGGAGAAAGATGAGGCTTTCTGCTCCTACAAACATCTATAGCCTTGGAACCCATATGCAGGTTCACTATGAGTCAAAAAAAGTGTGCCTAAAAGACACACAACAGACAACAGAGATCTTTTAAATCATTTCATCCCATTCTCTCAGCTTCAAGGGTAATGAAACTAAGAATCCACTGTGGAATTTTTATAAATTTCTTTCATTTAGACAGTTCAGTTGGTAAGATCAAATTTGGATAGGCACAGTTTCTGCAGCATGGTTTTTGTGTAGTTTAATATGTACATAAGATACATTAATAAAATATTTTCTTTTTTTAGTCACAGTACATGCTAGCAGAAATTACAATAGTGAAAGAAGGCCCTCAATTTCATAGAATCACTTTTCTGAAAAATTTGTATGAAAGTGAAAAGGTAAAAGGTATATAGTAAGACATGTGACACTCAAGACACAAGGCAAGTCATGGATGCAACTGGGACCAGACATGCTATTGCTTCTAGCTAGAACCTTCAAGTTCTGTTTTGTCTATTTTTCTCCTATTGGGAAAAAAAAAATTTTTTTTAAGTGGACTGCCTGTGCTTCCTAAGAAAGCAGTTTATAATTCTTTGTCCAGTTTGTCTTAACTGAAATAAAACAACACTGACTCTAAAGGACAGACTCCTTGTGTACCATAAATGAAGTTCCCAGAAGAATGGTTTTAACTCTGAAGTTGGGAGTACCATTTGCATGAGTTGCAATGTGTCAGCAAGCTCTTCCCCCTAATTTTAGGAATTGACCCAACTGTAATGGATCTCTTGGGTAATACATTCATTGTGCCTTAGCCGTAGCTGCCCTTGACTTTGAGAAAACTTCCTTGGAAAGATCTGAAGGTGTCTTTTCTCACATAGCAGAAGGGGCTGGGTTATGTGATTTTGATAGTGAAGAATGCTATCAACTTCTTCAGTGTGAAATTGATCAAATGTAATCCAGATGCATTGATAATTACTGGTGATTGGAATGTGAGAGTTGGAAACCGAAAGGGATCTGTAATTGGAAAGTATGGCCTTGGTGACAGAAATGAAATTAGGTCACATGATAGAATTTTGCAAGACCAGCAGCTTCACTGCAAATATCTTTTCCACAACATAAATGACAATTTTACGTGTGGACCTTACTGGATGGAATGCACAGAAATAATCAAATTGGCTACATCTGTGGGAACAGATGATGGAGAAGCTTTTATCATCAGCCAAAACGAGGCCAGAGATTGGCTATGGAACAGGTTATTAGTTGCTCATATGCAAGTTTGGGATGTAGCTGAGGAAAATGAAAACAAGTCCATGAGAGTCAATATAGGATGTTAAATATACCCCACCTGCATTTAGAGACCATCTCAAGAACAGATTTGATACACTGAACGCTAACAATCAAAGACGAGGCAAGTTGTAGGATGACATCAAGCACATCATACATGACGATAGCAAAAGGTCATTAAAAAGACAGGAAAGAAGGAAAAAGACCAAAGTGGATATCAGAAGAAACTCTGAAACATGCTCTTGAAGGTAAAATTAGCTGAAGTAAATGGAAGAAATGATCAATTAAAAAGCTGAACAGAAATTTCAAAGAACAGCTTGATAAAACAATGTAAAATATTAACATGAAATGTGCAAAGGCTGGGAGTTAGAAAACCTAAAGGAAAGAACATGCTCAGCATTTCTCAAACTGAAAGAAATTAAAATTACAATATTGAAGGATTCTGTGGGTTAATGTACCAGACTACAAAGCCGTTTGAACTTGCTGGTTGGCGATTCAAGCTTACCAGCTGCTCCTCGGAAACCCTATACAGGGTGGCTATGGGTCGGAGTCGACTTGATGGCATTTAACAACAACAAATTGGCAAAGTATTGAATGATGCAGGAAACACCATAAGAAGATGGAAGGACTATACAGAATCACTGTACCAAAAAGAATTGGTCTACATTTAACCATTTCAGGAGGCATATGATCAAGGACCAATTGTATTGAAGGAAGAAGTTCAAGCTGCAATGAAGACATTAGTGAAAAATAACAGGAATACCAATTGAAATGTTTCAATAAACTGATACAGCACTGGAAGTACCTACTAGTCTATGCCAAAATACTTTGAAGAAAGCTACATGGTCAACTAACTGGAAGAGATTATTTGTATACCCATTCCAAAGAAAGGTAGCCCAACAGAATGATGAAATTATCAAATAATATTATTATTAATATCACACACACGCAAAATGTTGCTGAGGAAAATTCAACAACTGTTGCAGCTGCACATCAACAGGGAACTGTTGGAAATTCAAGCTGGGTTCAGAAGAGGACTTGAAAGGAGGGATGCCTTTGATGATGTCAGATGGATCTTGGCTAAAAGCAGAGAATACCAGAATGATGTTTAATTGTGTTTTATTGACTTTGCAAAGGCACTTGACTGTGTGGATCGTAACAAACTATGGAGAACATTGAGAAGAATGGGAATTCCAGAATACTTAATTGTGCTCATGAGGAACCTGTACGTAGACCAAGAGGCAGTTGTTTGAACAGAACAAGGATTTAAAATCAGGAAAGGTGTGCATCAGGAGTGTGTATCCTTTCATTATACTTATTCAATTCAATCTGTATGCTAAGCAAATAATCAGAGAAGTTGTCATCATGATTGAAGGAAGACTCATTAATACCTTGTGATATGCAGATGACGACTTTGCTGAAAACAAAGAGGACTTGAGACACTTGTTGATGAAGATCGTGACTACAACCTTGAGTATGGATTACAGCCCGTGGAGCTGACAAAATAAACCCAAAAACAAAAAAACCTTACAACTGAATCAATAACATGATAAATGGAGAATAGATTGAAGTTGTCAAGGATTTCATTTTACTTGGATCCACAATCAGTGGTCATGGAAGTAGCATCAAGAAAGCAAACAACTATATTGCACTGGGTAATTCTGCTGCCAAAGACCTCTTTAAAGTGCTACAGAGCAAAGATGCCACCTTGAGGACTAAGATGTGCCTGACCAAAGCCTTGATATTTTCAACTGCCTCATATGCATGTGAAGACTGGACACTGAGTAAGGAAGACTGGAGAAGAATTGATGCATTTAGGTTATGGTGTTGGCAAATAATATTGAAATATTGACTGCCAGAGAATAATAATGGCAAATAATATTGAAATATTCACTGCCAGAGAACAAACAAATCTGTGTTGGAAGAAGTATAGCCAGAATGCTCCTTGAAGCAAGGATAGTGAGACTTTATCTCATGTATTTTGGACATGTTATCCAGAGGGACCAGTCCCTGATAAAAGACATCATGCTTGGTAAAGCAGAGGTTAAGTGACAAAGAGGAAGACCCCCCAACAAGATGGATTAATTTGCAACAATGGGCTAAAACATGGATGACACAAGATCAGACATTATTTAGTTCTATTTAGCTGACTCCACAGCACCTAACAATAATCGCCATGCACAGTTTTGTTCTATTGGATACTGAGAGGCACCGTGATTCTTCCTTGGACTCCAGATTGCAGCATGGCTAGTTCCATGAGCCCAAGGAGTGTTGGTTTCCTGGGACTTGGAGGTCTTCAGAGCCCATGGGGACATTTTGACCAAACACATCTTCCTTTCTGCACATTATGCAGCCAGTTCCTTCAATTTATGAATCCATGGAGTCGACTCCTGTTGGAGCATGAGTTGGAATCCACTGCCCGCAACTAACAATAGCCAGCTAGTTGAAGGTTTAGAGCTTCTGGGAATAGTCAAAGGCTGGATTTTTATATGCCACTAGGTGCATGTGTGAACACTCCCGGGGGGGCGCCCGTCGCCGCCGGTAGAGACAAGCCGCCAACACTAGGGTGCTGAGGAGCAGTACGCAACTGCAGGTGCCCAGAGCTGCCAACAGCAGCGAGGAGCTGGGCCTGGTGGTGAAGTTGGCACACGGGCGCCTCCAACCTAAGGCGCGCCGCAGGCTGAGGCCCGCGCTGTTGGTCGCCAGGACGCACACGTGGTATGTGGTGGCCGGGGTCAAACCCAACAGATGGAGCTGCCGAGAAGTAGCGTGGACCTGCCCTACTGCCTCTGTGGTCTCCGCCTGACCTTCGGGATGGTAGTGGATCTGATACTCATGCACCACCGAGTTGGGGGCACACCAGTGCACAATCGCCGACGTCTCGGTCACCTCGGACACCCCCTGGAACTTGGGCGGGTCTGGGACGGTGTCTTCACCGCTGAGGCCTGGGCATCGGCAAGAGGAGCGTCGCTGCAGCTCCACACACGGAGTCTGGAGGTGCTTGCAGGGGTGGTAGTCACAGGTGATGTCCTGGTGAGGTGTCCCCACCATCTCCTGCGTCTCCCCTTCCCCATCTTCATTGTAGTCATCCAACAACAAGATAGGGATCTCGTTCTCAGAGGGGCTCGGGTGGGGGGCCTCGGGAGTCCCCAGGTTGTGCTGAGGCCGGCTTAACGGGCTTGCTAAGGTAGGGATGGGACCATGTTGTTTGCTGGTGAATGGGGTGGGGACAGCTGAGATGTGGGGCCCACCAACAAGCCCCACAACTTGGTGCTCTGTGCTGACTGTGCCCTGAGCCCTGGGTGGGACACTAGAGTTGCCATAACCAGCTGTAGAGGTGGGGAGGGAGTGGGCAGTCCCCTCCAGGGCACTGCTGTGGGCCAGTGCCGCTGGTGCTGCAGAACTCATGGGAAAGGAGGGAGCATTGGTAGCACTCGATCCGTGTCCCGTAAACTGGGGAAAGGGGTTTGTGCTGCGTGGGACTGGGGGACCCCTAGGAGAAGCCTGGCTTGATGGGGTGTGGGTGGAGTGGCTAGAAGAGGGTGGGATTGAAGCAACAAGGGTGGTATTTTGGTGTGCCTGGCATATACCAGGCAGCTGGGAGAGAGAAAGAGAAGTGGAGAAGACGCCACTGGAGCCTGCAGCTGGTGCGCACAAGGTGTCTGCTGCCCTAGAAGAGAGGCAAACCAGTTAGAAGGAGTTTGGATTCTGGGCTACTTCTTTGCTGGGCTGAGACTTTGATCCAGATGACCCTCCTCCCCAACCAAGCCTTGTCAACATGCTCCTGCCAGGTACCACATGTTAGTTACATGCTCTAACATGTGACCGAGACCCCTCAGTGACCATCACCGTCATCATTCCAACACCGTCATTACCCCAACTGTACAGAGAAGGAAACCTAAGCTCTGAATGAGAAACTAACTGCTGTAGGTTAAACCTAGGCACTGGAGCAACACGTCCAGATGCTCTTAGGTGCAGTTTGCCGCTTGGTTGCTACTTTGTTGTCATCTGTTTCCTGGCAATGAGTAGTAGTAATCATAGTCATAAATGTACTCATAGCACATACTGGTACCTGCCATGTTCTACAGACTATTCTTAGCACTTGATATATGTCAAGGAATTGAGTCTGCACTATTCTATGGAATGCTGGTGTGGAGCTGTTGGATAAGCACTGGACTGCTAACCACAGACTTGGTGGTTCAAACCTGGCAGCCACTCTGTGGAAACCCTATCCAGGGTTGCTATGAATCAGAACCAACTTGTGGCACTTAGCAGCAAACACCCTTCTATGAAGCTCTAAGTACTAGTATTCCCATTTTAGAGAAACTCAGATGTGAAGCCAGCCTGCCTCAACCTCTTAGTACCACTGTGAGACTTTTGACTGCAAAGTGTGAAGTGTGTGTGTGTGTGTGTGTGTGTAGGGGGTGATGGTGGGGGAACAGGGAAGACTGAGCCCTACTTGACAGCTGAGCTTGAGTGGTGTCATGAATTGAATTGTGTCCCCTGCCCCTCTTCAAGTATGTGTCAACTTGGTTGGGCCCTGATTCCCAGTGGTTTGACTGCTATGTAATGAAGCCATCATCCCCCCTGATATGACCTGATGTGATCAGCCAATCAGCTGTCAGAGGACTGGGTAGTCTGCAGTATCCTTGTTGTTGTTATGTGCCGTGGAGTTGGTTCCGACTCATAGCGACCCTGAACAGGGTTTCTGAGGCTGTAAATCTTTACGGGAGCAGAAAGCCTCATCTTTTTCCTGCGGAGCAGCTGGTAGTTTCGAACTGCTTACCTTGCGGTTCGCAGCCCAATTCATAACCACTACGCTACAAGGCTGTAAATCTTTACGGGAGCAGAAATCCTCATCTTTTTCAGTGGAACAGCTGATAGTTTTGAGCTGCTGACCTTGAGGTTTGCAGCCCGTAACCAGTATACTACCAGAACTGCTTACTCAGATCATAACTGATTTGATGTAAGGGGAGTTTCCCTAGGGTGGCCTGCATCATCTTTTATCTTATACAACATAAAAAAAGGAGTGAGAAGTCAACAGGGAAGGAGAGACCTTAGTACCACCAAGACAGAAGAGCTGGGAGCAGAGTGTGTCCTTTGGATGAGGGGTCCCTGCGCTGAGAACCTCTTAGACTCAGGGGAAGACCAATGCCAAGATACATGGAGATCTCCAAGGAACACTCACTGGCCCACGTATTTTGCAAGGAGACAAGGACTGTTCCCCAGAACTGACAGAGAAAGCAAGCCTCCTACTCTACATGGCGCTCTGAATTTGGATTTCTAGCCTCCTAAAATGTGATGAAATAAATGTCTGTTAAAGCCATCTACTTGTGGGAATTCTCTTATAGCAGCACTGGAGAACTAAGACAGGTGGGAAGCAAGACGAGTCTCCTATGGGATGGGGAGAGCTACAGGAGAGGCAAGCTGTGGAGCTGCTTGGAGGGTACTCAGGCCTGCGAGGACAGGATGAAGGGTTCCCAGTGTCCACCATTTCCTGGTGTGGTGCTGTAGGGTAAGCAAGGTCAGCGGTTCAAACCCACCAGCTGCTCCTTGGAAACCTTATACAGGTTCACTATAAGTCAGAACCAACTGGAAGACACTTTACACCAACTACCCTAGGAAACCCTATACAGGGTCGCTGTGGGTTGGAACTGACTCTATGGCACTTCACAACAACAACACCCTAGGTGTTTCCCACTGCAAACACTGCTCTTGCAGTCAGTTCTTTGTAGGAATTTTTTTTTTCCTGTCCCATGTAAGCCCACTGGCCTTGCACTGAATGACTCCAGAACAATTAATCAGGCTTAGCCTTGGGAATTCAGTAGGACAAGTGGCTTAGAGTACAGCCTTGGCAGGAAGGCGGATCCTGCCTCCTGCATCAGTAGCAAAACGGGGGCAAAGGTAGCACCTGCTTTGGCAGAACATAGCTAGCTGCTCACCTAACAGTAGTTTAGCCATGTGCCTTTTCCTAATGGGCACACAGCTAGACTACTGTTATAGATTAAATTGTGTTCTTCAAAAAGAAATGTTGATACTATAACCTCTGTGCCTGTGACTATGCCCTTGTTTGAGGACATAGGATCTTTCTTTGAAGACATTATCAGTTAAGTCATATCAGAGTAGGGAGAGTCATACTCCTAATCCCTGGTGAGTGATTTCTTATAAGAGGGAGAACAGACAGGGAGGAAAAGTCCTTCACACAATTAGGGGACAGTATGTAAGGGTCTGTCTACAAGCCAAAGAAATCCCGGGGCTACGGAAGATGAAGGCGGTCAGGAAGGACCATGCCTTAAAAACGAGTAAAAGCACCTAGTGCTGCTGAAGTGCTATGAGACAGAGGTCTGTCCTTTAAAACACTTTGTGGTATTTTCTTATGGCAGCACTAGAAAACTGAGATGACCACAGTTCCCAGCTTCCCCTGCCGTTAGGCGTGGCCTGCTGACAGACTGCTGGCCAATGGAATATGAGTGGAAATAATGTGCCCCACTTCCAGACCTAGCCCATTAGAAACCTCCCAGGTGGGTTTGTTTGTTTCTATTTATGGCAGGTGACACTGGTTTATCAGTGATAATTGTTAGTTGCTGTGATGTCTTTTCTGACTCTCGGTGACCCATGTGCACAGTGAAACTGTTCATTTGGGTTTTCAAGGCTGGGACTTTTTAGAGGCAGATCACCAGATCTATCTTCTGAGGCCCCACTGGGTGGGTTCCAACTGCCAGTCTTTCACCTAGAAGTTGAGTGCTTAACCATTTGCACTACCCAGACAGCCCTATTGATAACAGTGATATGGATTTCCACTTTCTGTTTAAACATTAAAAACAAACAACAAAAACCCTCTTAGGTATGTTGCTCCCTGCTCTTGGCGTCTTCTGGCTGGCTCTGAGTTAACTACAAGAAGATGGCAGCCCCACCCAATTGTCCCACAGCCCGACGCAGTTCTATTACAAAGACATGAACCAGAACACTGCAGCTTCTGAGGGTTGTTCTCAATTCCTCAGTTGTCTGCTTTGTCAATGTGTTACCTGTTTAGGACAACTTTCTTCGCATCCAAGAGGAGCCAGGACAACTCACAGCTACAAGTGAGGGGGTTGCCAAAGAGGTCAATGGACAGGACCTGGGAGGAATCCAGCATCCAAGGAGGGAAGAAACTCAAGTTGCAACTGAAAAACACACACAAAACCAAGCAATCTGGTTAGGCTGCTTTTCACTGGGTCTGGATTGTCTCTGGCACTCGTCTGGTAAGGTTAGAATATGAGTGAACTTCAAAGAATTCACAGAAAAATGGAATGAAAGATAATGGAATTTTTTCATGAACTGATTGAAGCCCCCTCGTATACAGTGAAACCTGTGAGAGTTGGCCCTCAGAACCACCTAAGCTTCATCATAAATTTGATGTTTGTGTGATGTTCAGAAACCCAACCCTCTTCTGTCGAGTGGATTCCAACTCATAGTGACCTCACAGGGCAGAGCAGACTGCACCATCACAACCCACTGTTTCCAAGATTGTAATCTTTACGGAAGCAGACGGCCACATCTTACTCCTGTGCAGTGAGCTGGTGGGTTCAAACTGCCAACCTTTTGGTCAGCACCCCAATGCTTAATCCACCATGGCTCCACGTACCCTAAAGTGAGGCACTAGATCACATGTGCAGGATGAGCAAAAGATCAAGCAATGGGTTATGCTGACCCATCACCCACATCTAAGCTTTATGAGAACAAGTCAGAAGGTGGAAGAATTTGGACTTTGAAGATTGCTTTGGAGGAACCCCAACCACAATGTGGGGAAGGGATGTTTCCTTTAGGCCAAATGAAGTTTCCTGAAACTTAAGCTAAACTGGCTCCAAGATTCTCTCTTGGAAAATGTCCCTTAAAACTTTGTCTTACTGATGCACGACAAATCTAAAGATAAGAGGTTGGTTGGACCTGGCAGAGAAAAGAAAAATGGCTGCATGTGGGAGTGATTCTAGGGTCAAGGTGCCTACTTCCCAGAGTCCAGATGTGGGGTGTTACGAAAGGAGGTGACTAGGGATCATCTCTAAAGAGACAGATACTACCTTTCCTGTTAGAAGTTAGGATAGTAGCTATTCTTGGGAAGGAGGTTGGGTGTACTGACACTTTGGACATTTGCTAGGTCAGAGGACACTGACCGCAGATTCCAACTGCAAGTGGGACCTTTACTACCCATTTTCCTATCATCCCTTGACCTTCTTAAGCCCTGGAAGGAACTGGACTTGCATAACATGTGAGAAAAAAATGTGACTCCACAAAGAGAACTTGTTTCTGCAGTCCACTTTTTCCCACTACAGATTTCCCAGCCTGGGCTTGGACAAAAGAAAAACTTCAAATGCAAAAAAGTTTGAGTTTTAATAAGATACTAGACAAGACAGGACTGAGTTGCAGGGTTATTAGGCCAGATGGACTATCTGGAACTTTCCCAAAATACCATCTAAAGGATGAGGAAGAACAAAGGCTTCAAGGGAGAAAAAAATTTAAGGTCTTGTTTTTTATATAATACATATAAAGGGTCTTCAAAAAGCTCATGGAAAATGTCTATTATGAAAAAACTACACATGGATTTCAGGGGCTTCTTTGCATTGAGATAAACTTGTACTGGCTTATGATAACTTTTCTGAACAGGATCTAGTTTGTGGCACTAAGGATAAGAGCCTCTATCAGAGCAACATGAATTCTGCTAAAATTGAAGCAAGGACAAACATCAAATTTATGGTAAAGCTTGGGAGGAAGAATGGTGAAATCAAAGTTTATGGGAACAATGCCCCAATTTACAAATGGATAATTCATTTTAAGAAGAGCAAGAAGATACTGAAGATAAACCCCACAGAGGCAGAACATCCACATCAAGTTTCAAGGAAACAATCTTGTTTGTGCTCTCACTGAACTGGACTGACAACAGCAGAAACAATAGTCAACTCCAGTGACATCTCAACTGGTTGAGTGTACAAAATTCTGACTGAAAAATTAAAGTTGAGCCAACTTTCTGCTTGATGGGTGCCAAAACTGTTGCACCCAGATCTACTGCAGACAAGAGCAGAACCTTCCATAGAAATTTTAAACAAGTAGGGTCAAGCTCAAGAAGCACTTCTTAGAAGACTTGTAATAGGAGATGAAGCCTGGCTTTACCAGTACAATCCTGAAGACAAAGCAAAACCAAAGCTATGTCTACAAGAGTTGGAATTGGTCCAGTCAAGAGCAAAGGTCATGGCAACAGTTTTTTTGAGGGGAAGGGGATACTAAAGGCATTTTGCTTGTTGGTTTTTTGGAGGGTGAAAGAACAATAATATCTACTTATTATGAGAGTGTTTTTGAGACCCTTAGCCTAAGACTTAGCAGAAAAACACCCAGGAAAGCCCCACCAGAAAGTCCTTCCCCATAGCCATGATCCTGATGATTCCTCTCATCAAACGGAGGCACTTTTATGAGGACTTCTATGAGAAGTCATTAGGCATCTACTTTACAGTCCTGATTTGGCTCCTTTTGATTTCTTTTTGTTTCCCAATCTTAAAAAAAAATCTTTAAGAAGCACCTATTTTCTTCAGTTAATAATAATATTAAAAAGACTATAATATTTCCAGGAAAAGGATATCATGTTTGGTAAGGTGGAGGGTCAGAGAAAAAGAGGAAGACCCCCAGCAAGACAGATTGGCCAAGTGGCAGCATCGATGGGCTCAAGTGTAGCAACAATTGTGAGGTTGGCCCAGGACCAGGCAGTTTTTCGTTCTGTTGTACAAAGGGTCACTATGAGTCGGTACTGACTCGATGGCACCTAACAACAACAACAACAACATTTCTTTAGGGATGACTGGTATCATCACTTACAAAAATGTCTTGTCCTTGATGGAGCTTATGTTAAGAAATAAAGTTTATATGTTTTTCTTTTTATCTTTCAATTCCATTTTTCCAGACTTTTTGAAGTTTCCTCATAGTAACTCAGATCACGACAAGTCAAAAAGTATTGCTACAAAATCATGTTGTTGTTGTTAAGTGCTGTCAAGTCGGTTCTGACTCATATCAACCCTGTATAGGGTTTCCAAGGAGCAGCTGGTGAGTGTGAACTTGTGGTTAGCAGTCCAGTGTTTATCCTACAACCCCACACCAGGTCTCCCAATTCATAGAAACCTTCATTAAACAAAAACAATCAAAATGTAAAGCTACTGTTTCATGACATATCTTCCATCTAGGTCTAGACACTCTGAAGAAGGTATTTCCACCTCTTTAACCCTTCCCTTAAGAATTCTGTGCTCTTTGATTTATACCACATCAAAACAGCAGTTTTGGTATCCTCGAAGGACTCAAACTGTGCTCCTTTTAAATGTTCTTTAAGTTTGGGGAACAAAAAGAAGTCTGAAGGGCAAGATTAGGGCTGGAGGGTTTATGGGGTAAGATTTCTCAGTAAAACAATCATAAGAGAGCTTTTGTTATCCTTGAAGAATGAGCAGGTACATTGTTGTGATGGAAAAAAAAATCCTCAGCACAAGTTTTCTGGGCTTTTTCCCACCAATGCAGTTTTCCATTTCTGAAAACTTCTTCCTAATAAGCATCTAAGATCATTCTATGTCCTTCAAAAAAATCTTTCAAGATTACCCCTTTGGAGTTCCAGAAAACAATGGTCCAGAAGATCCCCTCAGAAGCCACTGTTTTGATTGGACTTTTTTTTGAAGGCACCCTAATGAGTCTTACTAAGAGAACTTGTCTGCAATCATCCATCCACTGATCACAAAGACATGCTTAAACACAGTTTGTTTGGAATAAACCCTGGTGTGGCACTGAAGGATAAGCACTGCCAGCTACAAGGTTGGTGGCTCAAATCCACCAGTTGCTCCTTGGAAATCCTATACAAGAGCACTATCAGTCAGAATCAACTTGATGGCATTTAACAGCAACAATCATGTATGAACTGGAACCATAGTAGCAATACCTTTGGGTTCACCCTTGAATTCAACATAGTGCAATGGACAAAATTCAGTCATGTCCCAGAAACACTTACTTCTGGAAGAGAAGGGTTTGTAGGCGAGGAGTATCTTCAAAGATGTGTGTGTTGACGGAGATGAGGGTTGAGGAGTCTTGACAATCCAGGTGCTGTAGGTTGGGGGTCATCTTGAAAATGTTCCCCTCCAGGTTCCTCAGTCTAGGCATCTTCCTCAAGTAGAGGGATGTGAGATTGGGCAGGTCTCTGATCCACTCTGATGGAACTGAAACACCAAGGGGAAGCACCCTCAAGCAGGCAAAATCCCAAGAGGGCAGCATGGTATTAAGGACAAAACAAGAGTGACAAGATGATTCAAGAAGGTCATTGCTGATCATGGACACAGTTTACAGCCCTAGGAATTTCAGAAGTGTAGGTTACAGTGGAGTCCTGGTATGACATGGTCAGATAAGTATTGGACTGCTAACTGAAAGGCCAGTGGTTCAAACCCACCAGCCACTCCTTGGGAACCCTATACAAGTTTGACGCTACAGTGCTTAACAATGACAGGTAACATGCCAGTATTGAATCCTGGTGCAGCACTGTAGGATAAGTGCAGGACTGCAAGGTCGGCTTGAAGCACAAGGTGAGCGGTTCAAACTCACCATTCACTGCTCGGAAACTCTATACTGGGTTGCTATGAGTCGGAACTTACTTGAAAGCACTTAGTAACAGCAAGGCCCTTTCAGCCAGAAAAGCCTTCAAAGATGACCAACCCTTTCTCCCACCCCTCGCCATTTTACAGATGAGGTGGTCGAGGTGCCAGAGAAGAGAAAGATTGGTCTATGACAACACAGCTGGAAAGGACTTGAATTTAGGACTAGTACTGCCGTTGTGTACCCTCCAGTCAGTTCTGACTCATAGTGACCTTGTGATGGGTTTCTGAGGCTGTAAATCTCTATTGGAGTAGATAGCCTCATCTTTTTCCCCACGAAGTGCCAGGTGAAGTTGAACTGCTTGTGGTTAGCAGCCTAAGTGCAACCCACAGTGATACCAGGGCTCCTATGTCTGAATCTGCTGTTGGTAGATATAACTCTAGTTAGATTCCACCTCAAAGCAACCCAGACTTCACTCTGATGGCTAGAGGAGTAGTATGAGAAGAATATAAATAAGGCCTCCCTGGGTGGTATAACGAGTAAGTACTTGGCTGCTAACCAAAAGTTTGAAGGTTCAAGTCTACTCAGAGGTGCCTTGGAAGAAAGGCCTGGCAATCAGCTTTTGAAAACATTCATCCATTGAAAACCCTATGGAGCACAGTTCTACTCTGACACACATGGGTCGATATGAGTCAGGATCGACTTCATGACAACTGTTTCTTGTTTCCCAGTAAGGAGAAGAGGAGGAACAAAGTTGGAGGAAGACCTAGAAAAATCAATGAATTCATCCTCAGAGCATGTTTCTTTATGCTCTGTGCATGTTTGGTGCTGTGTTCATCCATTAACCAGCACCCAAACAATTCACCCAGTATTCCATTTATCTGGCTATGCTGTGCTATGTTACAGATTGTGGTTAAGTGCCACCCAGTCAGTTCCAACGCACAAGAACCCTTTACCGGCTTTTCAAGGAGCGGCTGGTGAGTTTGAACTGCCAACCTGTGGTTTCAATTGACCTTGTGGTCCAGTGCTTTCTGGAATGCCTCGGTTCAAGTGTGGAAGATAACAGTGAACTAGCTATGGGACTGAGGGCAAGCCACTTCACCTTTCTGGGCCTTGTTTCCTATATTGTTGTTGTTAGGTGCTATCGAGTGGTTCTGACTCATAGCACCTTTATGCACAACAGAACAAAACACTGCCCATCCCCAACTAATAATTCCCATTTCTTATGGATAACATTGTGAAGGATGGGAATTCTAGAACATTTCATTTAAAATCAGGGTAAGGTGTGTATCAGGGTTAGATCCTTTCATTGTTGTTGCTAAGTGTCATCGAGTCAACTCTGACCCATAACGACCCTGTATAGGGTTTCTGAGGAGCAGCTGGTACACTTGAACCACTGAAGTTGTGGTTCAAATTCACTTTGCAGTTTGTTGCATTACCCTACAGTGCTACACCAGGATTCTTGTTGTACTCACTCAATGCATATGCTGAGCTGGACTATGTATAAAGAAGAATGCGGCATTATGGTTGGAGGAAGACTCATTAACAACCTTCAATAAACAGATGACACAATCCTGCTTACTGAAAGCTAAGAGGATTTGGCGCACTTACTGATGAAAACTATAGTCTTCTGTATGGTTTATACTTAAACATAAAGAAATGAAAATCCTCACAACTGAAGTTGTTAAGGATTTCATTTTACTTGGATCCACAATCAATGCACTTGGAAGCAGCACTCAAGAAGTCAAGGACATTGGACAAAACTGCTTCAAAAGACACCTGAGTGTTAAAGAGCAAACATGTCATTTTTAAGGACTAAGGTGTGCTCATTCAAGCAATGGTATTTTCAATCACCTTATATTCATGTGAAAGCTGGGCAATGAATATAAAAGACTGGAGAAAATGAATGCCTTTACATTAAGATGTTGGCGAAGAATATTGGATATGCCACGAACTGCCAGAAGAACAAACAAAGCTGTGTTGAATAAAGTACAGCTGGAATGTTCCTTAGAAGCAAAGATGGCAAACCTTCATCTCATGTACTTTGGGCATGTTATCAGGAGGGGCCACGGTCTGGAAATGAACATCACGCTTAGTAAAGTGGAGGGTCAGCGAACAAGAGGAAGACCCCCAATGATTGACAGAGTAGCAGCAACAATGGGTTCAAACATAGCAATTGTGAGGATGGCACGGGCTCTGACAGTGTGATGAGTCGGAATTGACTCCACGGCACCTAACAACCACAGCAACAACTCCTTGGGTGGCATTTACAATAAAATTCAGCTTGGCTCAGAAAATCGAACTGTGGCTATGTCTGAAACCTCTTGTGCACTAAGCACAGGAATCACACCTCACAGAAAAAAGTGGTCAGCCTAGGCTCCGCGTTCAGGCCAACTGGGCATCTCCGCCGCCCATACTCACCGTGTGTGAGGAAGGTGCCGCTGAGGTCTAGAACCTCAAGAGTCTCCAGGGCTCCACCATCCTCTCCTGTGAACGCGGCCTCAGCGATGGTCTGCTGGCCGTCACCCAGCTCGGTGGAGGAGAGGTTGAGGAAACGGAGCGCTGGGAAGCAGGAGAAGGCCCCAGGCTGCAGCGTCCTAAGTGGGTTCCCGGCGAGGTGTAGCGCGTGGAGGCGGCGCAACGCGTGCCCGGTGGCGCAGCGCGGTAAGGCAGCCAGCCGGTTGTAGCTGAGGTCCAGCAAGGACAGGCCCGTGGGCCCACCGGAGCCCCAGCGCAGCTCGGCTATGCGGTTGTGGCGCAGCGTCAGCACCTGCAGCTCCGGCAGCGCACCGAGCTCTTGCGCGCTCAGGGCGCTCAGCAGGTTGTGGCTGCCGTCGAGGCTGTGCAGCGTGCGTGGCAGACAACCGGGCAGACGCTCCAGGCTTCGGTTCTCGAGGGTAAAGGAAGTGAACTTCCCGGCAGGAATACCCTCGCAGGGCGAGCGCGTGGGGTTGCTGCCATCCCTTTCCCAGGGGCCCTGCTGAGTGAGCCGGAAGAGCGGGACCCTCTCCTGGAGAGGCCCTGCCTGGCTCAGGAGCAGCGCCGGCGAAAGCACTAACAGCAATAGTAGGACCCAGCACATGGCGTGCGACTGGGGAGAGAAGAATAGGGAGATGGGTCATTAATTCTTGCGGATCGGAGAGGGAAATGTGCCTGGGGAGCGAGCGGGGAGAGAGCGGGGACCCTTAGGTGGAACCTAAGGTCCCTTGAATCAAGGGACTTTCCCTTGAATGTCATTCATGCTGTTCCCCAGCACGAGGGATGGAGTGATTCTGCCCAACCTGCCTTACTTTAGCTCCCCCGTGTGCATCCTGGCATCTCGTGACTTTGGCAAACCCTCTTTTCTGCCCGTGATGCCCCTTTCTTCTTCTTTGCCTAAGGCATTCAAAGTAAACCTCTTCTGAAGCTCCCTCATTTTTCCAGTCTGGGCCGGAATCTCCCAGTAACCCCCACCCCATGAGCTTCAGGAGAGTAAGGAGCAGCCCCTTTGTCGTTGTAAACTCTCCTCAGGTGTACCGCCAGTGTTTATTCATAATGAGTGTGTTGAATAATGTGTGTTTCCGGAGGATCTACTAGGATAGAAACACGGGACTTGCAGAAGATTTTGCCAGTTCCCACGAAGCTCGAGTTGCCCTGTTTTCCCCTTAGAACTGAGTCCTGGTTTGCATGTGACCTAGTCTCCAAATCATATTTAAAAGGCAGTTCTGGGGTCTCCGTCGTTGGAAAGCCCTCAGGAGTTGAGAGGAGCCCCAGTCATCAGGGAGGTTTGTTATTGTTAAGTGCTATTGAACTGGTTCTGACTCACAGTGGCCCTGTGTAGGGTTTCAAATGAGCTGTTGGTGGGTTTGAACTGCGACCTTTTGGTCCAGTGTGCATTATCCTGCAGATAACCACACCAGAACTCCCTGTGAGGTTTCTTGTTGTTATGTGCTGTGAAGTCAGTTCTGACTCATAGTGACCCTGTATAGGGTTTCCAAGAAGCAGCTGGTGGGTTTGAACTGCCAGCCTTGTGATTTACAGTCCAGTGTTGATCTCACTGCACCACACCAGGAGTCTGCCTATAAGGTTTGTTGTTGTTATGGAGGAACCTGGAATTAAGTATTTCTTGGCCTCATGTGGGTTTCAACAAAAGCCAGGGCCCCCAAGATTCAGCCCAGACCTGGAGGGATGACTGAGAGGGGCTAGGTGTAGAGTGTCTAGAGTACCCAGGATTCCACAGGGCAGCTAGGAGATCAGGGAGGAGTAGATTAGGCAGCTGTGGGCTGCTTTGTAGCAGCAAAGTTATTACCAACGAGGCTTTGGCCTTGGGATCACTGTTTGATGGACCCTCCTTGGTGGTAGTAGTGGTTATGTGCTGTGGAGTTGGTTCTGACTCATAGAGTCCCTGTACAGGGTTTCTGAGGCTGTAAATCCTTCCAGGAGCAGAAAGCCTCATCTTTCTCCCATGAAACAGCTGGTAGTTTCCAACTGCTGACCCTGAGTTTAGCAGCCTGACACTCCCAGAGCTCCTTATATGGAGCCTCATTACATCAGGTATATATTATTGTCCCCTCCCGGTCCTTTCTCTTGATGATTTAGGAATCCAGACTCTAGGAAAAGGGGCTCCCGGAAACTGAGACCAGGAGTCCAGGTGTCTGGCAATATGACGTACTCACTTGGAAGTTGTCTTCTTGTAGTGTGGCTCCGCCAGATGCCCCTTTGCAGTCCCAGATCTTGTTCTACAGATTCTGCAAACTCGCAATTTAACCAGCAGCTCAGCTCTGAATTCCACAGAAATGCCAAGGAGGCCTGCTCCCCAGCTCCCCCTCTTTCCCTCTCCATCCACTAAGAATCTGGGATACCTCAACCTCTGTAGTCTTTCCTTCTTACTAAGACTTTGCTATCTTTAGCCACAACCCTCATTTCCTATCTTTCTCCTCCCTCTGTGGGAGCTGCCCCTCCCAAGCCTGGCACTTCCTTCCAGCCCTCCCCCACCTTAGCTGCTTGTACCACCTTCCGCTGAGAGGAGAAATGAAGGGAGTCAGCTCTTCCTGGGCAAAATGAATGTGAGGGTTAAGGGGCCACAGTCAGGCCAGGCTGCACTCTCACCTCTCAGGAATCCCGTCTTGCCTACCAGGTGGCTCTGGTTTCAGGGGATGCTTGGGGGCTGAATGGTGCCCATGGTGAGGAAGAAGTAAGACACCCTATCTCATAGGAAGTCTCTCTGAGAAAAGTGGCTGCAGGAAGGGAAAGTAGGGTCTGGGAAGAGGGTCAGGTTTAAACCAGATCTGAGTCCCCAGGAGGAATTTGTTTGGTTTCTGAGGAACACAGTTTGGTGACAATATGGGTTTTTATCTCTTATGTTGTTGTTGTTAAGTGCTGTCAAGTTGGTTCCGATCCACAGTAACCCTGTATAGGGTTTCCGAGGAGCGACTGGTGAGGTTGAACCACTGATCTTGTGGTTCAAAGGACTTTGCAGTCTAGTGCATTAACCCACAGCGCCACAACAGGACTTTATTGTCTCTCGTAAGAGATAGGAATGAAGAGGCTAGAAAGAACATTCTCCCCACTTCCCGCCCAAAGTCCAGGTCTCCTTGAAAATGTGGTGATAGGAAAATGAGCTTTGTTGAGAGCGCAGAGCCTTTCTGCCCAGAATTCCCAGAGCAGAGATGAATTATGTCTTCTGAGAACCTTTAATTGCACTGGACTCCTCCCACCTTTGCCCACCCCCACTGAAAGGTCTGAGAGTCCAGAGCTTTGTGAACACAGACCGGGAGACCAGAACTTCATGTATCTTTTCTCTTGTCAGTCTTTATCTGGCAGTCTTGAGGAACTCCAGAACACCACTGACATGCTGGGTTAATTGGATAATTGGAAGTCTCTGGGGGTCTTCTTGGAGGCCTTCCCCACCAGTGGCGTCACTAGGATTGGTGTCATCCAGTGTAATCACTCATGGTGCCAATTTCTATCCCCCTTGTCATTGATCATCTCCTTACCAGACCATACAGACTATCAGGAATATTTATTATCATCATTTTAATCATAGAATAACATGATAAATAAAGTTGTAAGTTGCTTAAATATAATATTCCTTAGATTATATGAACACTAACAACAAAATGTTCATATAATCTAAGGAATATTATATTTATGAACACTAATAATAAAATGGAGTCCTCGTGTGCCTCTGTGAGTTAATGCGCCAGACTGCAAAGCCGTTTGAACTATAAGGTCAGTGGTTCAAGCTCACCAGTCGCTCCTTGGAAACCCTATACATGGTCGCTATGGATCGGAACCGACTCGATGGCACTTAACAACAACAACAATAAAATTGCTTTGCACAATCTTTATACATTGAATTATAACATTGTTGTTGTTAAGTGCTGTTGAGTCACTTTTGACTCATAGCCACCCTGTACAGGGTTTCCAATGAGCAGCTGGTGAGTTTGAACCACCGACCTTGTGGTTCAAGCCAACCTTGCGGTCCAGTGCTTTATCTCACAGAGCCACACCAGGACTCTAAAACACACCGACAGCCACATGAAAAACAATGCATGCTTGTAAGTGTATACAGATGAAACCACAGGATTTAAAATGTCATCACGTCATTGTCATTAGCTAAGAAGGACAGCTCTGACTTGAATACATGTTCAAAAAGTAAATCAGCATCAAGTTTGAGCCTTGTAGATATATTGTTACATGTATTCATGTTAGCTGGGCTTATGGAAAATATATCTGTTGTTAAAACTAACTATGGGGATTTGAAATTAAAAAATAATACATTTCTGTTTAAACACTCCAAAAAATTTTGGTGGCACTCCTTCTGGCAGTGTTACCTGGTGCCATCTGTGCCCCCCACACTCCCAGCTCCCTAGAGAGGCCAGGTTCCCCACACAAAGCCTCTAAGTCCTTATTAGTTTGAGTGTACATAGGTGACTTGCTGCTCAGGGCCCTCCAGATCCTGGCTGGTAAGTCTGGGACTAGTGCATCCACCACCGTGGATGGCTCAGGCCCAGGGCCCAAAGGTGGCACTGCTGTGCCTGTGTGACACAGGAAGCTAAGTGCAGGGAAGAACTGAGAGAAAGGCAAGGTGACAGGTGGTAAGTGGCTCAGAAGGACCAGAAAGTGAGCAGTGGGCAGCCTCAAGTGAGACCTTTACCACTGCCATTGCTTGATTCACAGGGCGCACAATGAAAACATCAGGATTCCCTCAGAGTTAAGTCTGCTAAGTCCACCATTGTGTTTAACCATCCTGAGACCAGCAAAGGCTTGGGGAGCTGGATTCACTGAAACCCTGCCTGTTTTAACAGACATCCTGAGGGAGAAGAAAGTTGGTCTGCCATTTACTGTTGTTAGGTGCCATTGAGTTGGCAGTTTTATCCATAACAGAGAGAAGCATGGCGTGGTCTTGCACCAATCTCATGATTGTTCTTGTTTGAGCCCATTGTTGTAGTCACAGTGTCAGTTCATCTTGTTGAGGGTTTTCCTGCTTAACTTCTTTTGGATGTACTTTACCAACCATGATGTCCTTTTCCTGAGACTGAGCCCTCCTGATAAATGTCCAAAGTACATGAGATGAAGTCTCGCCATCCTTGCGTCCAAGAAGCATTTTGACTATACCTGTAGTATAGATTTGCTTTGTCTTCTGAAAGTCCATGGTACTATCAATATTCTTTGCCAACACCATAATTCAAATGCATCAATTCTTGTCCAGTCTTTCTTATTCACTGTCCAACTTTCGCATGCATATGAGGTGATTGAAAATACCATAGCTTGAGACAGGTGCACCTTAGTCCCCAAAGTAACATCTTTGTTTTTCAACATTTTAAAGGGGTCTTTTGCAGCAGATTTGTCCAGTGCAATGTATCATTTGATTTCTTGACTGCTGCTTTCATGAACATTGAGTGTGGATCCAAGGAAAATGACAACTTCAATCTTTTCTTTGTTTATCATGATGTTGTTTATTGGTCCAGTTGTGAGGATTTTGTTTTATTTACATTGAGTTATAAGCCATATAGTTTATTACTTCATTAGCAAGTGTCTCAAGTTCTCTTTGCTTTCAGCAAGCAAGGTTGTATCATCTACGTATTGCAGGTTGTTGGG